TATTTTAATAACCACGTTTGAGGGGCTATCAATTTCTCAGCTCAGCGCCCTTGAATGGAGACCTGTAACAGCAAGGCCACGGTTTCCCAAACCCCGCGTGTGCAGGTGTGGGCGTGCCGGGGGCCATGTGCTTGTCCCTTACCGGCGCTGTCTTCCGTGCAGGGAAACCGAGGCAGGCTTGCCGGGCCTTCCTTCTTTGAATGCTGTTGGCAGAGCACCACCTCAGGACCGCCTGCGACTCCCGAGTGGGTGGGGATGAGGAGCTACTTTTCTTCCCTTCCGGATTACGCGACTCCCGGGACCCTCGCCCACTCCAGTGTGTCCCTGGTTCTCACTCCACTAGTGTGCTGCTCAACTAGGGTCTCAGGGATAGCGGCCTGCGGGGCCCAGGGCGCTCCTGATGACACCCTGACCTCCTCGCTGCCCTGCTTAAACCCGCAGTGGGGACCCCCACCCCCGAAAGCCGACGCACGGAGCCCGCACAGCCGTCTCCCGGACACCTAGTGGAAACTAGATTCCGACCCAGGCGTAGAAATTGAGCCCTCCCCGCTTCCGGGAAACCAGTGCTGAACTGGCTTCACGTGCACACGTAGACTACCCCGCATCTGACGCTTAGCACCACGCTTGGCACGCTTTATAGAACGTGCTTCGTGTCACAAGAAATCCAGAAGGCAGCCTGTGGAGCGCAGCGTTTTCCTTAGCTCCGGGCATTGGGCCGTATCCGCCCCGCCGGTTGGGGTCGCCACAGCCAGCCCGCCGCCCCTCTGGGAGGTTTGCTCCGGAAACGCGTGGGTTTATGTCCTGCTCGCTCCCTCTGCGTACACGCACGCGAACAAGGCCTGAGACCTTTGCTGCGCGTCAGACACGCGTAAGCTCAGTCGCCAATGAATCTTATTCTCGTCTTTTAAAGACTCCTTCCCCGCCCGCCCCGGGAAAAGCGAGGCCTTCACTCAGTCAAGTGTTCGTTAAGTGCCTTCCCCTACTCCTGGCCAAACGGCCTGCAAACTTTGCAGCAGTTGAAAGCTGCGGCCCAGACGGCGCGAGAGGGTTCCGGGAGAGTGGGCGGGGCGTTAGGTGGGTGGGGCCCGCGTGCTCCGGAAGTCGCCCCGCCCTGGAGGCTTTGGTGGGGGCTAGGTGAACCAATCTGGGCCTAGGTTCTTGGGGTGGGGTGCCTTTCGGTTCCCGCACCGCGCCTCGACCTTGCAGCGTTGTTGTTCTCACGGTCTGGTCTCGGTGCCTGGCGTTCGTACCCAGCTTTCCCTGACATGAGGGCAGCGCCGGCCGTTTCTCCCTGTTTATTATTGTGCCGCTCCCATCGAGAAGGGACTTCAACGCTGAAGTCCTCACCTCTCTCCGCCTCACCCAGCAGAGCTTTCTTCTGGGACTGCAGAGGAGTCGGCAGAGAGTTCTGGAAAGGGGGCTTGTCCTGGGGCATTGCACTAGCGCCCCGAAAGCAAATACTCCGGGGAAAAGAAAGTCCTGTTTCTTAAGTTTCCTCTAACTTACTTAAAAAATTATTTCCTCCACCCTTTTTGGTTTTTGGAGTCGCAAAGGAAAGATTGTCTTAAAACTGTGTTAAAGTCCGGGCTGCTCTCGTTTCATGTCGGAGGGTACATGCTTTCCTTTTCCTTTGGCACAGAAAGCAAACAGGGTCATCAGGCCGCTGAGGCGATCCTCTTCTAAAACGGTGTAGGGATCTGACCGCCCCCGGGTCCCCACGCGCCCTCCTGCTGCCGGCGAGGAGTGTGCGACTCTGCCCAGGAGCTCCGGGCGCCTTCGGGCTCCGCGGCCTTGGCCCGGGGGGGAGCACTCGGCGGGTGTCGCCGCGCCTCAGATGCTGCAGTGCGGGAGCGACACCCCTACGGCCGCCTTAGATGGTGGGGGCAGGCGCGACCTTGGCGTGAGCAGTTGCTGGTTTCCAGGGTTCTAGAATACGAAGGACCAGGCAGCCTCGTCTGTACGGGGCTGGCGGGGTTGCAAGCCGTTTTAGGTCCCGTTTGCTCCGAAAAGCTTCGGCCGCCGAGATCCTCAGGCAGCCTGATGCCAAAATGGTGTGGGACGAGACTGTCCAGGATCTTCCTTCTGCTTAGCTGCGTCCCCCGCCCGTCAGGCGCAGGTTCAATCACTCGATAGTCGCACGGTCTCTACCCTCTGTCTTGAGCCCCAGAGGGTGACTTCGGGGATCCATGGGGTGTATAGGAGTCTCTCCCAAATGTGGCAGACCGGGGCATCAGTGTCACCCCAAGAAGTCGATTGCTGGTTTCCCCTCTAGAAACAAATGCCTCACTGGACATTTGTTCCCCCCTTTCAATGTGAAGCTGGCCAATGAGGGATGCTGAGAAGCATGGACAGGGCGAGAGCTGAAAAATTCTCGCGTGGGGAGAGGGAGTTCGTTTTCATGCTTTAAAAGGGCTTTCTAAAAAAATAAAAACATAAAAAGGCTTTCCAAATGCGCCAGCCTTCAGTGTCACCGTGGTCGAGGTTTAAAACAGCAGTATAAGAACCTTGACCTCCCTCTCCATGAGAATCCAGCAAAGCAGAAAATTTCCTGATGTATTTATACATCCGGCACAATATGAAACTGTCCTTTTGATTAAGTGCTCCTTGCGGTGAGGGGCAGCTTCCCGTCAGGACATCTTCAGTTTCTGAGCACCGGCACCTGCGTTCTTAACTTTTAGATACACACACATCGTGAGATTGTGTGTGCGCCAAGAGAAAGAACCACACATGCACACTTGTCTTACAGCCTTTGACCCTTTAATACCTATCACAGCGTTACCCAGTTAATTGTGGTTTGAACACATGCGCGCGCGCACACACACACACACACACAGCTTTACCCAGTTAATGTGGTTTAAACACGTGCGCGAGCACACCCACACCCACCCAGAGCAGGACTGAGTGGATCCAGTCTAGCGAGGTTACACTCACTTGTAACCCTCCCTGCTCCCTTTCCAATTTCTTTGATGATTTTTCCCATAAGTATATAAGCCGCCGGGACTTACTTCTACTAAGCGGCAGGCCGCTCCTCCTAAATGTGATTCGGACCATATGCTTTCTACATTCATCCCCGCTCCGGCTTTTCTTCTCCACACTAACTACTAACACGTTATAGTCACCTTGAAATTTCCTCTGCTATTTTCCAATTAAAAGCTTAATAGCCCTGGAAACGGAGTTCATGTGGTGAAGTTTACCATAGCCCCTTGTTCTGAAAGGCTTTCTGCTGGGATCCCATTATGTGCTTGAATAAACCCTTTCTGCAAACAGAAATGGGACTCGGGGTTGTCAGGTGTTGGGTTACAATAGACTTTGAGGCAGGGGACATTTTACCAACATAAATACAAACCTGTCCCTATAGGGAGATGTTGTCAAATACTGGGATATGGAAAACATTCCCATCAAATATGAGAAAAGGATTATTGCACTATATCAAATGAGTATTTAGGTCTCAGTCCCCGATGTGTACTGGAGTGAAACGGGGCCCCGGGGACCAAATAATGCAAGACTGTTTGAGTGGCAAAGGGGTAGGGTGACTAGGTGACTGAGAGAGAGTGGGTCGCCTTGTGGAAATGCCCCCCAAACCTGGTGTTGCGCTCTGATGCTTTCCTTTAAAAAAAAAAATCGTTACTCTCAGGTTTCTTATACTCCTGGTTTTGCTGACAATTTATTTGAAGGAAATCTGGGAGAAATCTGGCTTTGAAAAGTTTGTGGTCTCTGCATTCCTAAGAGATTTAGAGATTTCAGTGCAAAAGCTCCCAGATTCAGTGTCATTCTAGGCCTTCTGTGTGTCTCTCGCCGTGAACTCCCCACTTCTGAGCCTCTGGGCCGCGGCGCTGCGGCCAACCCAGGCCTCCAGTCCTGAGAATTGCTGGAAGTTCCTCCCAGTTCTAGAGCCTTAAGGCGTGTTTTCTGGAAGTCTGGGAGGAGACATTAATGACGTGGTGGGGGTTAGGAGTAAGACTAAGGGGTCTGTGCTCTAAGCAGTTTTGGAGGCAAGCCTCCCAAGGTTAGCAGTCTCTTGCTGGGGGTTCCTTTCTGCGCCCCACAAGATCCACAGGTCTGAAATGGGGAGGGTGGGGGGCGGCCAAGGGCCTCAAGGGAAAGGTACACAATCAGGTTCGCTTTTTAACCTACTCCCTCCCAGAATCGCCCTTTTAGGCGGAGGGTTGGCTGCTGGAACGCCTGGTGATACTTGAATTCACAGCACACACACACACGGACGTTTTCGGGTTGCTTGTTTGCTTCCAGAGCAGTGCAGAGTAAAGCTGAGAGGCGCCGACCAGTTGACCGTTTTAGCTGACTGGTGTACGCTCCGGATTCGCATTGGATTCGTGCAGACCGCCAAGAGATGAATTAAGGGTGCGCTCTCTGAAGCCTGCCAACTGACGGCTCCAGGATTGCTATCTCCCCTCTTCGCCCTGAGCCATTGTGCTACCCTGAGCCGCAGGAACCACTGCTTTTTATTGTTGTTTTCTCGCATCAGGGGAGCATCTCTGTGCATTTGTGGAGGTATTCTGCTGTAGGCCAAACCCATACACACAAGTATCACTTTAAACAAAGTTTTATGCTGTCATCTTGTGCAAAGGTCCTCTCCCACCCGTACCCAAAGACACTGGGGTGGGGGATGGCCCATCCCTCATTCAAACCTAGATTGCTGAGTCCGTGGGCATTTGAATGGGGTGATGCGAGACCTCCGTTTGATCTCTCAAAGGCCGTTGGGTAGAGGGCAGATCATTTGCGGTAACTTTGGGGGCGCTAGCGTGGCCCCTCCAGTTGCGCTCTGAAAGTTTAGACCCAGTGCTTAAACACAAACTCCAAAAGAGCACTTGCCGGCTTTTCAGGACAGAGACTTTATTTTTTATTCCAACGTGGAGGTGTAGAAAAGTAAACTGCGCCACAGAGGGAGGAGCCTGCAAAACGGGTCGTCGTCTTTGGACCAAAACGTTTTCAAAAGCATTTTCTTCTGCAGAGGCAAAAGGAAAAAAAAATGTTGCAAAAAGAAATCAAGAAAGCCCCCATTTCTCGAACCAGTTCCAATGCCCTACCCCCAACTCCTCCAGCCTGTGGCCGCAGGGCCTGGCTCCCCCCAACTTAAAACCTCTTCTCGCGCCGGGACCCTAGTGCACCCGCAGCGCTCAGATAGGTTCCGGTTCTCCCCGAGCCGTGTGTCTGTGGCCCAGTGTGGGAATGAAAGCCGCCTTGGGCCGAGTGCCGCCAAATCGGGCCTGGAGGGAGGGGGGAAGAGAGTTGAAGGGGAGCTGCCACCCGCCTCACCCAGAGGCACCCTGGCTCTCCTCCGCGCCGGGCCTCCCTTCCCCGCCCCTCGGGCGCTGCCGCGTCCCGAGTGCTGCAGTCCCTCCGGTGCAGGCAGGGGAGGCGCGGGGAGCCTGGAGGAGGGGGCCGTGAGCGCCCCCGTGAGAGTGGCCCGGCGGCAGGTAGCAAGGAGAGCGAAGCAAGGGACTCGAGGGGCGCGGGCAGAAAGGAAGGAGGCGTGGAGTGGAGTGGGGTGGAGAGTGCCAGGAGGCCCGGACCCCGAAGGTGGGGGTGGCGGGGGAGGGAGGAGAAGCCGCCTCAGACCTTAGCTAGAGCTCTCGCCGGCTCCCGGCACCGCCGCCGCGCCTCGGCCGGGGAGGACGTGCCGGCCAAAGGAGCGGCGGGCGGAGACTCGGCCGACTCGGGATTGGGGAAGAACCGCCGGGAGCCGTAAAGACGGCCGCGGCCCCTCCAGCCACTCCGAAGCGCTCGAGGCCGCCTGGACTGCGGGGCCGAGGACTGCGCCGCCCGGAGGCCACTTTGGAGAGGGCCTCTCGGCCCCGCCGTCCAGCGGCCCCGTACCGGCTCCCGCCACCAGCTTGCCAGCTCTGTCGGGGGCCCGGGGCATGAACGGCTACGGCTCCCCCTACCTGTACATGGGCGGCCCGGTGTCGCAGCCGCCGCGGGCGCCCCTGCAGCGCACGCCGAAGTGCGCGCGCTGCCGCAACCACGGCGTGCTGTCCTGGCTCAAGGGCCACAAGCGCTACTGCCGCTTCAAAGACTGCACCTGCGAGAAGTGCATCCTCATCATCGAGCGGCAGCGGGTCATGGCGGCGCAGGTGGCGCTGCGCAGGCAGCAGGCCAACGAGAGCCTCGAGAGCCTCATCCCCGACTCGCTGCGCGCCCTGCCGGGACCCCCGCCGCCGGGAGACGCGGCCGCCGCCCCGCAGCCTCCGCCGACCTCGCAGCCGTCTCAGCCGCCGTCGCGCCCAGCTGCCGAGCTGGCTGCGGCCGCCGCGCTGCGCTGGGCCTCCGAGCCCCCGCCCGGGGCGCTGCAGGCGCCGCTCGCCAAGCCAGGTAAGAGTCGCGGCGGGGCCGGGCCGTGCTGGCGCCTGGGCGGAAACACTTGGAAGCAGCTCTGGAGGCTTTGGCCGGTAGGCCCGAAGGCGAGTGTGGCGGGAGTGGGCTGGGCGCGGCCTTCGCCCCCAACTCCAGCCAAGCCGGTCCTTACTCCCTGTCAGAAGCGGCGTTCAGTGTGGACCCGGCGAGGTAGGAGGTAGAACCCAGGTGCCCTCGGGAAAGGCGCCTCGGGCTCGCCAAGTGCCTTCTCTAAGTTTAAGGGGACAGGTGGATAAAGAGGTCGAAACAGGACCAGATTAAAATCCACGCGGGCGCACACACCGCCAGGCTTTCCGACTGTGGGCTTGAGAGGCCTCGCATCTGGAAGGGCAGAGAAGGAGCCCAGGCCCACGGTTTGGCCTCCTCTGGGCGATTTTCTCTTTCTCGGCACCGGTAACTGGAGCGAACCTGAAGCCTTTCTAGTAGTCTGCTGTGGCCTCCAGCCGTTTGCAGTTTGTTGAAGGAAACCCTGTTTAGAAGCGATAGTAGAAAGGGACTAGAAAGACTCCCAAAACTTTTAGCGGGGACTCAATCTGGTGCACCCAGAGCCAGCCAATTCCTTTTGCAGAAGTTCAGGTCCTGTAACACCATTTCGCAGGCAGACCTTTGCAGTCTGTGCTTTTCAAGAAAGACAAAACCTGACCTACAGTGAGGAAGGCCTTGCCTGGAGAGCCCTTTCGCCAGTTCTGGGGGGGGGGGGGGGGCTGGGCCGCCTCCTCTCTTCCTCCCCCTCTTTCTTGCTGTGTTCTAGAGAGCAGGGGTCTGCCCTGAGTCCTCGAGCTGCATAGATCCCCCTACCCACCTTTCTATCCGGTTCTCTCCTTCAGGCCACCAAAACCTTGCACACCCCACTGGAGCCTTTCCTCCTGGAGACTTACTAGCTTGTGACTGTCCTGCCCAGCCCAAGCGCTCTTTTGGGTTTTAACCTCTTGGAATTCAGTGGACAGGTGTTTGGTGTTTCCCTTTCTCTGGGGCAGACGTGCACAGGAAAGAATCCCCATCTTCTCAGGGAGAGGGTTGAGAGGTATGCTGGGACTCAGAAGTGGAAGGCTCTGGAAGGACCAAAGCCGCTCTGTGGGTGGAACTAATGGGAGAGCTTCTGCCTACCCCTAATTGCGCCCCTCCCACCCCAATGCAATACTTCTGGTTTCTGGAGAGAGGCTTTCTGGAGCGCTGGACTGCTGGGTGGAGCCCGGGACATGCCGTTTTGGGGATGAGCTGGCAGGCGGCCCTGCAGGCTCAGTTCTGCTGCCCTGCTCCTCAGTTAGGCTCTGCACACCCGACCTCTGAGAACATCTCATGTGAAGAGCAGAACTGGGTGTTTCAAGGACAGAAGTGGGTTCACTGAACGTGGATTTTGTGACTGTTTAATCTGAGGTAGGATATAAGCCTTTTTCTGAGTATGTCTGCTCACTTCCAGGTGACTCTTGTCAGTGTGATCTCTCCATGTTTTATAGGTTTGCCGTAGGGGAGTCACAGGAGAGGGGAGAGAAGCTTCTTTTTGTTTTTCTGTTAAATTAGGGCAGGTGACTAGGTGAGTTTTGTCTCAGTTCTCAAAGCTGATCCATGCCAGTGACTTTTCTGAACCTTCCCATTTCCAGTTCCTCCGGCTCTATTTCCCCCAACACTCAGGCAGCATTTGTGATAGTGCAGGCAGCACCCCCATAATAGTGCATTGGGTTCTGGGGTCCCTGTCCCAGAGGGGGTTGTTTTCACACCCTGTGCTCTTCACACCTGTTCTCTGGGATAGCCAGAGTTCACCTTTTCTACAGCCCTGAGAGGTGGGGAGTGAGGACAGGCAGGAAGGCGGAGCAGCAGCTGCAGCTGGAGAAAGGTACAAGCCTGGGTTTTTTGCACTCCCTCTCTTTCACCGGGAACCAAGTGTTCCAGGAGAGCCTGAGCCTTTCAAACCGAAAACATGTAATTGCAAAGGAAAATAGGATTTGACACAAGAGGTTGGAGTGATGACTTTGGTGGACTAGACTGTCAGGGCCCAGCAGCTCAGTCTCCAGCTGGTCCTGCTGTGTACCTTGCACATATTATTTATGTCACTTTTGTTTTCTTTCAGTTGGTTCGATCGCATAGTTCCATTTAACACCAACAAAAAAGCCAGTCACCAATCTGATGATGATGAGAGAGGGCAGGAAAGGACTAGATAGTTGTTTTCCATTAGGAAGGCAGGTGTACAAGTGCATCAGTTCTATGCGATGCTTTATACAGAGAAAGCCCGTTTGGGATTTAAATTAGGGAAAACTGCCTGGATGGGACTACTGGTTGCTGTACGTATTTTTTTGCAGTTTTTTTTTGGAGGTATTTGTATGTAACATAGCATGCACATTGAGAAGCCTGTTAGATGTGGTCCTGGGCAAGTAGCTCACTACTTAGGGAAGTGAAGCACTATTTGAATCATAGGCCCACATGTACAGTAAGTTCACAGACCACTGGTGGGTGGTGGTGGTTTAGCCACTAAGTCCTGTCTGACTCTTGTGATCCCATGGACTGTAGCCTGCCAGACTCCTCTGTCCATGGAATTTTCCAGGCAAGAATACTGGAGTGGGTCGCCGTTTCCTTCTCCAGGGGATCTTCCGGACCCAGGGATCTGACCCATGTTTCCTGCACTGCATGCAGGTGGATTCTTTACTGCTGAGTTACCAGGGAAGTCCCCGCAGACCATTAGGATCCTATGAATATCTGCTGGTGATTTATAGAGATTTGTTTCTGTGGGATTATGGAGATTTTGTTCAAGTACACAGCTGTGGAGACATTGGCTTTTTTTATTGGCTACAAATGCAGGTGCAGAAACACACGGTATCTTTCCCCCTCTCCAGAGATCCTTAAGAAAAGCTCATGCCCTGGAGAAGGGAATGTTTGTTGGGCAACTGCTGGAGAAAAAACACCTTGTACTGCGAGCAACATTAATACCAAAACCCAGCTTTGTAGCTGGAAGAAATTTATTTCCCAAATTATGCTTCAGATTCTTTAAAGGAACAGGAATTATATTATCTAATGGTGTATCATGTTTAACATCCTTTTAAAAGTGTCAGTGGTTTTAAGAAGAAATTTCATATTCTCAGATTATTACTTTTAGCAATGGATTAGACCTTTTTTTTTTCTTTTCCTTTTTGAGAGTACATTTCCCCTGCTGCTTGACTGTCATCTACAGCTGACCTGGAGTTAGTAGATTTTGATGGAACCTAAAATTCTAGTCTAAGCTTCTTTAAATCTATCCTGTTGATTCGTTTCTCTCCCATTCCCTCTTCGTCCTTCTCACTCCCCTCCTCCTTCCCGTCATGAAAATATCTTGGGAAGCTTGAACATCTTTCAGCTCTTAGTGTATCTGAGTCAGCAGCTTCAACCAGCCAAGCCTGCCTCTCTGGACTGGGCTCCAGAGCTCAGGAAAGTTAAGGGTCACGACCAAGGTGGGAAGCTAAAGTTACATTCCTGTGTGTGGCTCCCTCCCCCCGCGTTCTCCTCTTCTTCCTGAAGAGTGTCCTGGGTCTCCTTGGGCTGAGAGAGGACAGGTCTGTGACTATTGACTCATGCTAGGTTTACATCTGCCATCGAAAGAAATGTGTGAGCAAATTTTAAAATTTCTTGAAGGTAAAGAAATCGAAAGCATCACATTTGATTAGGAGTGAAAGAGCAGGGTTAAGAAAGTAGGGTCTTCTTTCCTGTTTATTTCTCCTGAAAAGAAGTGGAACAAGAGACCTGTAGGGAGGGAAGTTGGGAGATTTCAGAAAAGTGCCTTTATTTTATCTTACCTCCTGGCCAGCACTTCCTCACATCTTGGAGCTTACTCTGGGCTTTTCAGTCCCAACTTGATTAGGTCCTGTCTTGTCAGCTTCCTAATTTTAAATTTTACTTTTAATTAAAAAAAAAAAAGACACACAAACACACCTGCATGGATCCTGAGTGTGGGCAGAGGCCAGGGTGGGAAATTCTCAGTGACCAGGGACTGGAAGCACAGAAGTGGTGGGAGACCTCACAGTCTTTCATGAAGCGTACCTACGAACTTAAAACAGGGTCTGGTTACTTCATATGTTTTGATTTGGGGCGAGGGGTTTTGTTTTAAGTAATAAAAACCAACCAAAGGAAAAGGAAGACGCGAGGCTGATTGGTCTCTTCCGAGCCTGACCCGTGGCTGCTCGGGGCAGCTCTCAGCTCCAGTCTCTCCCGCCGGTGCGCTGAGCTCGGCACGTGCGGGTGACTGGTGGGGGACCCCTCGGGCCGTGGCAGCCGCGTGCCTGTGGCTGCCCTGGACCTCTCCCCCTCGGACCTTGTCCCTGTCCGGGGCACCGCAGCCGAGGCTGCCTCCTTCCCCAGCTCCTTTCAGCCCGCCGGCAGGGCTCACCAGCGGCCGCCTGGCCCTCCCGACTCAGCTTCGCCTCGCCTCTCGGCTCTCCCGCTCCCCGCTCCCTCCCTGCCGCCTCCCTGCTTCCGTAGAGTGCCAGATTTAGCAAAAAGCCTACAAAGAAACACACACAAAAATAGGACGTCAAATACTGCACAGGGCAAACTTCTACTAAAACATTCTTTGTTGTTTTTCCTAAGTGCAGATTCCACTGGGCATCCTGCGGACGATTTTATCTGGCAGCTCCAGCCTGGGAGGCGGACCAAGCCCCATTGCCCCCCGGGGGGCCCTCGGGGTGGGCGTAGCTCTGGCTCGTCTCCCGGCCCCTTTCTTCCCGGGGAGCCCAAACTGCCCCCCAGAGGCTCAGAGAGGCGCTGGTGTCCATCTTGTGGGTCAGAGCACCGGGAGGAGGGACCCCGGGGGCATTTCCACATCTCAGAACCAGAGTTTCCCTGCCTTCCAGGACAGAGCCTCTCCCCCCACACAGCACACCCCTCTGGGTTATAAATCTGGCGGATAGTCCTGTTCTCGACTTACACAACCAACTTTTCTTTTCCCTGATGGATGAACTCCCGAGTTTAAAAGATTACAGTAATCACAGGAGGAC